TTTATTTATAAACCATATCAAATTATCACTGACTTTAAAAGCACAATGATTAAATATTATAATCATATCCAATCAATCATAAATTTCATTAAGCATTACCATAACTCGTAATTATAAAATATACATCATAATCATTTAGGTGGTGGCCAAGTGGTAAGGACTTGGGATTAAGGGGTTTGCTCCCTCTATGGTTTCAGGTTCGAGTCCTTGGTTGCTCATATGATGGCCACTGGAGGCTTACATGGTCGTTAACTTCAGGGCTCGTGAGATTAGTCTTGATACGTGTAAGCTGACCCGGATACCCATGTTAATATAAAAAAAAAATATACATCGTTTAAAAAAGTATAGAGAGGGAAACCACTAAACGAATAGAATAATCATTAAAACTCACCTAATATGCATAGTTCAAAATTCTCATAGTAAAACAAATCAAATTTTTGCTATGTATAGACCGTACGTGTTTAAGAAAATCCACGAACATGCAATTAGCTTGGTGAGAGCTAGCAAAAGTATAATGTCATCATAAAAGTTTAATGTTGCTTACTTGTGAGGCATTTAAATTACATGGGGATTAATAAATATTAATTTCTATCTTAATCCATCATTTTCGATTAATTTTCTCCTCGTCATTTTTATCAATTCATCATGATAAATTATATGTTCTAGCCATCATCGACTTAATGTCACTAGTCTATTTTCGTGTATAATTTCCCCTTTTCGGCCATCTAAGAACTTCACTAGGTTATTGGATTTTCCTTTTATTTATTATCAGGTACTAGTTTTATTATCAAACAACTAGTTACTCCACTCAATTACTTGGTACTGGTTTCGTTACCTTGTCGATAAATGAATTTTAGTTTAAAATGAAAGAGTGTAACTAACAATGGAAAATAACTCCTTTTTTTTTCAATTTTCTTTACCTTTTTAAGTAAAAAAATTGGAAAATATATTTATTTATTGAAAACAAAGGTGAATTTTTCATTTTTTCCACTTGAAAAAAATAAGAAGTCCATCAAGATCACAACTATTATTTATAAGGAAATCAAAACCATGATTTATAATAATTATCTTAATATTTTATGTTTGTGAAAATCTAATTGTAGAATATTAATCTTATTTAATTCAAGTAAAATATTACCATGAAAAAATTGTATTTTTCAAATAAAAAAAAATTATATTAGATTTATATTAAAAACTAAACACAAGGCACTAATTAAATATGAATATATATATATATATATATATATATATATAATTTTAATCTTTTGTATTGTTAAAAGGTATTTTTATATAAAAAAATTGTATTGCTCGTGATTTTGCTTCACTTGAAAAATATTGGAAAACCCTGAAAAAACTCTAAATGTGTTTTCTAAACTCAATATAAATTTGAAAAATTACTTTTTTTTTTGTTTTTTTCTGACAATTTTCCAAAAAATTAAAGTATTTTGTTTCTGAATAGCTCGTAGCTTTTTCCCGTGATTTTGATATTTTGACACCGATAAAAATAACAAGAGAAATGAATAAAAGGGGTCGTTACTGCTTTAAAAGATAATCAAAACATTTGTTCGTTTTCTATTACCGTGTTTACTATTAACTATTAAATCTTTTTCTCATTGTTTAAATGTTTAGCATGTTGTTTTTTAAAAGTTCATTAAATTAATTAATTTCTGTTTTTATTAATTAATTTAAAGTATAATGCTTAAAATACTTATTTAGAATAGAACTATCAAATGTTTTCTAACAGCTAAGAAAGAAAATTAAAGATATTTTTCTTCGTGAAAGACAAAAAAAAAAGAGCATAAAATTATCTCTTGTTATTATTTTAAATTCCCCAGTATTAATTTATTGACTTTGTTTTTTTAAAAAAACTTAATAAAATAATTTTAATCATATAAGCTTATTATTCTATCCTATCTTATTGAGTGTAATTTAAAAAAATAATATGAAAACTTTGATCAACGCTGTTCAAATTTTTTTCTAGCCATTTCATTATAAAGAAACATGATCATTGTTACCGGACATTTATATATATTTCCATTGTTATGAAACTCAGTATAAACAACTGAGATGTTGATCGAGTTGAGTTTTAAAAAGGTAATATTTAGGTTTATAATTGACTGGTTAAATTTAAATAATATATTATGTTAACATAAACTTTAAATAACTTACCGTTACTTAAATGGGACTTGATTTTTTATAATAAACTTTGAAAATATAAAATTAATTTATAAATATTTAACTTCACATTCTTTTTTACAAATCACGTATATATAAAATGTTTATTATATATATATATGTGTATATATATATATATTGTTTCTTATTTTTTAATGTGAGATAGCTAATATATAATTTATATTCACATAAAATGTTTTTTTAATTTTTTTATGTGAGATAATTAACATATAGTCTACATTCAAATATATTATTTATTGATTTTTCTATAAGGAATAACCATATATAACATATATCTACATTAATTATTTGTTAACTTTTCAATATAGGATATTAAAACTTAATTTTTTTTTTAATTTTTCTAAATTCATCCGAGTAGCTTGTATGAACTGAGACTTGATCACTTGACTAGATCAACTTTAATCCTAATTTAATAATTATGATTATTTTGCTAAAATCATATTTCTCGCATCATTATTTATAATATATATTATAAAACATTCTGCACGTGAAATATTTTCCAGTAAAAACTTAAACATTTTCTAGATAGGCAAATTACAAATATAACCCCATCAAAAAACAAAGTCAAACCTGCATGAGATTGCAACTTGAAGTAATTTATTCAATCTACTAATTACTACCTACCAGATCAACTAAAAAACTAAACCACTTGCTTCTTTTTAATGTAACCAAGAACATGATGAAATGTGTATTGAAATATAATAAAATTATCACTTTTCTCTTAACTTTTTTATATATAAAGCTTTGTTCGAAGATAGGATAGTATTTTTTTATGATTACAGTGCAAGCAATTACCATTTTATTCTATTTTATTTATGAAGCTTTACTGAAGGGTATATGCATTTTTTTCTCTCGCGCTGTAAAAATATCTTTTTATCTATAGATTCAATAAAATTTAAAATTATTCACCAAGGATTTTTTTAACTTTTCATCATTTTTTTAACAATCAAGATATTTCTTTGCCTTTAAAATTAAAAAAATTAATGGTTTGCCAGGTAAGAGGTTTTTTCAGTTTTTTTACCATCCATGTCCGATATAAATATAAATTTAATCTTAGACGAAAAAAAAACAACAACTTTGCATTTGAAGGTATTTTTATACTTTCACATTAGTATTTTATATAACTAATAGGATTATAAAGATATTTTAATATTTTTCATGTTGACTTTTAAATATTTAAATTGAAAAACTATAAGTGTATGTTGAACATACACCAGTACATGAGTGATGTTTATACCATTTAGGTAATGTATTCGACACCACTTAATGGTTAAATTTGAATTTTCGCTGTCTTTCCAAATATAAAACCATGTTTTATTACAGTGTGGTATGCAAAGGAGGATGGTAGTCATGCTGTTACCAATAGTCATTTTTTTTTTTTTGTTCTTGGCAACTAAAATATATCATTATCTATATTGTTTTTTATTTGTCAATTTTAGTCATCATTCTTTTCATTTTTTATTTTATTCTTATTTATTTTATATTTTTTTTTCAATTTAGTCTTTCAATCACACTTACTCATATGTTTTATTTTTTTAACTTATAACTTAGTCCTTATTCTGTTTATAGTTTAAGTCCTTGTTCTTTGAATTTTTTATTTCATTATTGTTTCTTTTAAAGAATTTTTTTGTTTTTCAATTTAGTCCTCCAATTACAATTTATTATTTATTTTGTTTTTAATTTTAGTTTCCATTCTTTTAATTTTTATTTTTCTTCTTATTCCTTTTATACCCGATAGTTCATATATAATTTCTCAAATATTTTATTTTTCATTTTGATTTTGATTTTTAAAATTTTATTTTTTTTCCTGGCCCTTTTGTTGATTTTTTTATAATTTCAATCTCATCCTTTAATCACTTTTTTTTTGTTTTACTTTTTTCAATTTAACCATCATTCCTTTGATTTGTTTTTCTTCTGTTAAAGATATATTTCAATTCAATTTAATAATTCAATTAAAAATTTTTATTTCCCTCAAATTAGTTTTTTTTCAACCTTGATTTTTTAAATCATTTTTTATAATAAATTTTTTTATTTTATCTCTTGACATTTGATTTGTCGGGGATTCGGCTTCTTGTGATCTTGTCGTTATGTATTTTTTTTTTTAAATATTAGTTTTGTGACTATCTTTAATTTGTTTTCTATGAATTTATTATGGTTTCATGACTTATATCACAAGTTTTGCATGCCATTTTCTAATATAATTTTTTTGAGAAATATTTTGTTTGTATTTTATTTTTTAAGATATTATTTTAATTCATCTATGTTTTTTCTGGGTCTTATAAAAATGAACTTTATTTCTCAAAATAATTTTTTTTATTTTTAAATAATATTTTTGATGTGTTAAGCCTTGCATAATATTTTTTTAGGCTATGAGTTTATTCAATTAGTTTCATTTATATTTTTTTTGACCACTAGTTTTTTAAGATGTAAATTTATCTTTTATTAAGTTAATTAAACAAGTTTAGTAAATATAATCATATGAATATCTTAATTTTCATTCATCTTTTATTATTTGCAATTTGATATTCATCAATGGGTTTTTTAGTTATTAATTTATTTCATTAAATGCCTCCATTGGCCTTTTAATTTATATTTCAAATTTTTTTATATAAAAAAATATATTAAAATAGCTTGTATGACAAATATTTTATTTAAAAATTTATAAGCCGTGGTGAAGCGCCGCTTGAATGACTAGTTTAAACATATACAATGTCGGTCCATCCAAATAGTCTAACAAGCCCAAACGTATCAGCCCAGATCCATAAAATACCAGTCGTCCACTCCTGTAATTCAGTACGGTTCAAAAGTTAACCAAAACGGCAACACAGAGCTTCAATAGACCACTACCAGTTCCAGTAGCCCAGTCTATCGCTCCTTCATTTTCCTGTGATTTCTCACCTTCCAAACATACCATAATAAATTTTCCCGGATTCGATCCAAAAGACGATCCATAGAAAGGAAATTAAACCCTAAAAAACATGATCGGAGTAGGCAAGATCAAGCAATACTCTAATGTCCTTGATAAACCCCTCAGCAAGGGCAAACAAGAGGTAACCTTGTTCTGGTTGTTCGATCTCTCACTAACTCCATCCACTGGCTTAGCTTTGAAGTTTTGATCTTTAGGGTTCTGGTTTTGCAGGTGAGTTCGAGTGCGTTTGCATTTTTGTTTTCGGAGCTTGTTCAGTATAATCAAACACAGGTTGATAACATTGCTGAATTAGAGCGAAGGTGAGCTCTGCCGTTTTCGCTATATTGCTTGATTTGCATTTGTTCATTTGGATCATTTTGATGATAAATTTTAGAGACACTAGCAAGGAAGAATCTATACGGTATATTTAAAGCGATAAATTTTAGTGTTATTCTTGTCAGGATAGATCAAGAAATTCAAGCGATACACTTGTGATGTGACTGTACATGGTCTATTTTTGTTTTTAATTTTTGATATCAAGTATTCGGGTGTTGTCATTTGTAATAATGATCTTTGTGGGAAATATGGAGCAGGCTAGAGGATGCAGGCTATGCTGTTGGGGCTCGAGTTCTGGAACTTCTTTGCCATAGGGATAAGGTGATGCATTGTTAAGATTTCTCCTTGGAATTCCTGTCACTTCTAAAATTTATTGGTTATGTCTAGATTGATGCAATTTTGTTTTTGCCGTGCTCTATGGAATGATCATACTCGCGAACCAGGAGTAGATAAGTTTCTTCAGAAGCTTTTTAGTTCCTTCGTTGGCAGTAAGTAGCATGGGAATTATATATTAATATCATGTATGCTGAGTCCCCCCCCGTCCCATATGTTATGTGGCAGTTCACATTCAGAGGCAGCAGGAATATAGGCATTGTCCATCTGTATATCTGATCAAAGTTTCTGTGCATGATTGCATATGATTGGGTTTTTGAAATAGGTGTGTGAAGCATGTGAGATGACTTTCAGTTTTAACTTATGGGCTAGTTGTGAATAATGAAGTACTCAATCAATGTTCCTATGCTAGAATTGCTGGCAGAAAAGTCTCAGTCCAATCTCTTTTTCAGTGCAGGAAAATGTGCCTAGATAGCTGAAGTTAGAGTAGCTTTCTATTATTTTATTCTCCATTCCACATCTGATGCCTTTAATTGCTGTGTGTTTTGCTGTCTGGATACCTATAATTTTATGCCGCCCACAGAATTGATGCCTTGTTTATGCAGAATGGATATACTTATGAAACAACTTTTAACATGTTATATCTAGATCATGTATCAATCCAGGAAATTGCATTGTTAGCTATCCTAATGTCATCAACCTGTAATTTTTGATTGTGGAATCTTTGACTTGCCAAACTTTGAGGCATGTAATACATGTTTATATTCAGTAAAATGCCACGAAGGTACTTTCATACATCGAGTCAAATGCGTGGTATGGGCTTTCACTGTGGTTTATTTGCATTTCTCCAAGAACCTCATTTTGCTTTTCCCTTCACTCTCTCACCCTTGTGGCAATTAGCTTGTCATCATACAAGGGGTGTGATATAAGTTGTCTAGAACTCTAGCTATTTTTCCCCAGGAGGATTATTTTCTATGTTGAGTAAACTTGCACCATCTATGGCTTGACAAATATGATTTGTCTTGGCTCTAAAGAAGACCAATAGTTTTGCTTCATTAACATTTATTTTGCATTGCATTTTGGTTCTACAATTGCTATAACAATGCTTCTTTTGATGTCACAGGGCAACAGAAGGGAAACACGATTGTTGGGTATTTTGTCTTTTGTACACAGCACAGTGTGGAAAGTGCTATTTGGAAAGGTAAGTTTATTTGCAGTGTTTGAAAGTTCAGTAACTTCTTAAACTACATTTTATGCGAAAATGGAAAGTCATACTAGGTGTATTCTTTTTTATTTCATTTCCATTCCTAACATGCAATTCAGCATGTTTTACCCATTTTGTTTTCTCAACAATATTTATTCGTGTACCTTTTGTCTTTCCTGTTTGTGTATTGGTTTGAAATGCATGGAGTAAGTAAGGGTTCATGTAAAACTCATAGTTGGATCCTACCAGCTCCTTTCCTGCTAATATGTTAGGCAGTTGATTCCCTTGAGCAATGCACTGAACATGAAGATCAATACATGATCAGTGAGAATGGAAAGTCATTTTATGTGAAATTGGAAAGTCATACTAGGTGTATTCTTTTTTATTTCATTTCCATTTTGAACCTGCAATTCAGCATGTTTTGCCCATTTTGTCTTCTCGAACAACATTTATTTGTGTACCATTTTTTCTTTCCTGTTTATGTATATGTTTGAAATGCATGGAGCAAGTAAAGGTTAATGTAAAACTCAAAGTTGGATCTCACCAGCCTCTTTCCTGCTATTATGTTAGGTAGCCGATTCCCTTGAAAAAGGCACCGAACATGAAGATGAATACATGATCAGTGAGAAGGAGCTCCTTGTCAATAGGTCATAATTATCTCCTTGGACTTTTTTAGTTCGTAGTATGAAAATTGCTGTCAAATGTAGCTGGGTTTGTTTCTTTAAGTAATGACCTAGGTGCTGAACTGTCTTTGTGTTGTAGATTCATTTCAATTCCAAAGGATATGGGGACATTTAACTGCGGAGCATTCGTTGCTGGAATAGTAAGGGTAAGTACTAAATTTAATTCATACCAGTAAACTGACCTTTCAGTGGTCGGAATCTCTAATTACTTTCCCCCCTCCTTTCCCCCTTTGTAGGGTGTTTTGGATGGTGCAGGTTTTCCAGCAGTAGTAACAGCTCATTTTGTGCCTATGGAGGGCCAGCATCGACCTAGGACAACCATTTTGATAAAATTTGGTGAGGAGGTAAGGATTTTTTGTTTCCTTCCCATTCACTTTTTGCAAATGGATCAAACGAAGACTGATTTTTCAATTAAATACTGCCTATTCTATTCCAGTTCTTGCATGCTCTGTCATCCCAGCTGTCTTGAATCTTTGTTATGTTACATGATAATTCCTTCAACTTTGGTTCTCAATTCTCAAAATGCTCACCTGGCGACAAGCCATTTCAGCTAAACCATCTGCATATAACCTGTCATGAAATTGGATTGACATTGGCACATTACTACTGCAAGTATACGAGGAGTTCTGTAGAACTGGACTGAAGATTGCAGATAACCTGTCATGAAATTGGATTGACATTTGCATATTACTAATGCAAGGGTATGCATTAGGAGTTCTGTAGAATTGTCCTTTTTGTTCAGTTTATAAAAGGAAAAGTACTGATATAGGGACATTGCATTTACTGGTCACTCTACCCATGCATTTTCTGGTTGCCGACATCTCTGTGCCCATCTTTATTGTCCTTGTGAAGACCACTATGGTTTATCCATCTGCATGTGCCTTTTGGGCTAAGTTGGATGCTTATAGGCTTCCTGCCAGAAATAAAATTTTGATCCTTTTCCCCTTCAAAACTTTGATGTCTGTTGTAGCAACTGCCAAATTCATGTCTGATAAGGAGTTACCTAGTAATGTCACTCATTTTATTACATATTCTTGTCCAGAAGATATTTTGCACTTGTTCTGAAAAGGGCCCTGAATATTCAATTCATTCCCATTAAATGACTTTTCTGCATTATCTTGCTAATTATCTGTGTGATTTAGCATAATGTTTTTTGCTGCTCTTTGCAAGGGTGACGTGTTGTTGAGCTTGTTGTTCACGGCCTAAAAAATCTGCTCCTCCGTGTGGAGTGTGAGCCATTCCTGCGATATTTTTCACCTGATTCTTGTCGTGGCCTTTTTCCCATTTCTCTTCCCTTTTTCCCAGGTACTAAGAAGAGAAGCAAGACTAGGTTAATGTTTGTATGAATATTTCATCATGCAACCTTCGGTCTTCAGCAACACGGTGAAGAGCAGTAACTCTTCAGCTGGAATCCTGTCAGCTGTACCTTGTGACATTATTGGATCCCTGTTTGATTTTTGTGTATGCTCTTCAGAGCATGGAAATTTTAATGATCTTGTAAAAGCAATTATTGCCACTTCAGTTGATGTAAAGTATACGATTTCCCTTCTTCTCAGCTCATATGATCTTGGTCAGGATGAGCTGAGTTGAATAGGTTCAAGAATACACTTTTATCGGACTTCCTCAACTCCGCTGAGCTTTTCATCCTCTCGAAGCCTTAACTTTTCCTTGCGGTATAAATTCCAGAAGAGTTCAAAGGTGCACTCAATGTCTGCTCTCATTCCTTATTAATGACGCGAAACAATCCAAACATGTCTACCTGCAATCACCGCCGCACATCTCCCTTCTTCCTCGTCTGACCGAACCTTAGCTTTCTTTCCTGTTACAACTCTCAAACCCGAAATGAACAGCCCCACTTCCCAGCCAGAAACCATAACCTGTTCATCCCGGAAACGAGCCAGAAACCACCTCTTTCCTCCCCAAAACCAAGTCGTTTGCTACTTTTTTCTAAAGGTTCAGAGCCGACGCGTGAAGCATATCTACACGCACCACCACTGCCCGGTTCCCTCCCCAGTCAAGTTTTGAATTAAAATATATATTATAATCTATATTCAAAACATTAGAATATGGATATTATCGTGATTATAACATGTTATTCTATCTTATTTAATGTCTATTAAATTTAAAATACAATAATTATTCAATTTAGTCCAATATACATCTAACACAAGATAAAACAATTTTATGCAGTTCAATCCAGTCTAATTCAACCTAATTTAATTAATATTGTTCAGCATATTAAATACAACTTTAATATAATTATTTTTGGTCGCTACGGTGTGAAAGCCATCCTCTTATTTCCTAACTTTTTAAATTTAAAATTTAAAATTAACATAAAAAACATCTCTACATGTATAATTAGCTAGATCAGCGAGGAAGTTGCATTTTTAGAAATGTTTGCATAAACAATATGGTCTAATAATATATTAATACATAAATTGCATCTACATAATCCTGCAAGATTTCTGTCGACTGTAAAAGCTGAAGTCATGCATAATTTGCCTTTGTTGATCACTCCCTCTTCCTTGACCAACGGGCCCTCCTTCACGAGTCATTCAGGCTCAAGTCCTGCCTTTCCTCCCACGATCTTGAAAACCTGAAGAACTCGGCAAAATGTCAGGTGTTCTTCAGGAACTGAAAACATTTATTATTTGGATTGATAGGGAAAAAAGACTTTCTTTCCCTTTTATTTCTAAAGGGTGCTAATGGACTCTCCTTATTATCTGACCTTTCTAGGGAACTACTAGACTCACGAAAAAATCATTTCAAGAACTATCTTCTACATATCTTTAATTCTTAAGACTCCTTTAAATACAGCTGATTATGGCGTTTCTTTAGCAACTCACACTCTTCTATTTTTCTGTCAAATCTCATATTGTCAAAAAATGGCGGTGACCATCAAGAGCTCTCATGTAGTGAAACCAGCCAAACCAACATGGACTGGCCGCGTTTCCCTTTCTGAATGGGATCAGATAGGAACAATAACTCATGTTCCCACTGTCTACTTCTACAAACCATCACCGAAATGGCTTACACAATCCAATGCTGTTATCAATAACCTAAAAGACTCGTTGAGCCATGCCTTGGTGCCATTTTATCTACTAGCCGGCCGTTTACACTGGATAGGTCGTGGGCGCCTCGAGCTTGAGTGCAATGCCATGGGTGTTACACTCACTGAGGCTGAGTCTGAATCCAAGCTTGAAGATCTTGGCGACTTACCACCTCCAGAGTACCAATACCTAATCCCAAATGTTGACTACACTGTTCCATTACATGAACTGCCTCTATTGCTAGTGCAACTCACCATTTTCCAATGTGGTAGTATTAGCCTAGGTTTGAGAATATCCCATGTTGTTGTTGATGGGAAAAGTGCACTTCAATTTATGTCTGAGTGGGCAAGAATCAGCCGTGGAGAGTCATTAGGCACGCTTCCTTTTCTTGACCGCAAGGTCTTGCGAGCTGGGGATCCCCCTTTGGCTCGGCCACAGTTTGATCATGCGGAGTTCGGTCTTCCACCGCTACTGTTGGGGGAGTTGAGTAATGCTGAAGAGAGGAAAAAGAAGACAACTACAGCCATGTTGAGGCTGACCAAAATTCAGGTTGAGAAATTAAAGAATATGGCTAATGAGGGAAGAAGTATAGACAGTGGCCGAGGTTATACTAGATATGAGACCTTGACTGGACATGTTTGGAGGTCTGCTTGTAAAGCTCGTCGACACAAACCTGAGCAACCAACTGCTTTAGGTGTCTGTGTTGATTCACGTGGACGTATGCAGCCACCTTTGCCTGATGGTTACTTTGGCAATGCTTCTCTTGATGTCATTGCAGTTAGTCAAGCCGGCGAGCTCTTGTCAAAACCTTTGGGATATGCTGCAAGTAAAATAAGGGAAGCAATTGAAACGGTGACAAATGAGTATGTGATATCTGCAATTGATTTCTTGAAGAATCAACCAGACTTGACCAGGTTTCAAGACATCCACGCACTGGGAGGTGCTGAAGGGCCCTTTTGTGGGAACCCAAATATTGCGGTTGTTAGCTGGTTAACCCTACCTATTTATGGCCTTGATTTTGGGTGGGGAGAGGAGATTTATATGGGACCAGGAACTCATGCTTTTGATGGGGACTCATTGCTTCTGCCAAGTCCTAATGAAGATGGGTCAGTGATTCTTGCAATATGTTTGCAGGTGGCTCATATGGAAGCTTTTAAGAAATGCTTCTATGAAGATATCTTTTCTAACAGCCTGCAGGCATAGATAGTATAAAACAGGACCGAGCTGTCCTAGGCCAACAAATAAGAATCTGCAACCAGAGATAATTAAAATAGAAATATGTGATCAAGAAAAAGAAAACTAATGAATATGTTTACTTTTATTAATATCAATCGATTCTCACGTACATTTTATGAAAGAATAAGAAGAAGAAAATACTCATCTCATCACATGCCAACATGTTAAAGAATAATATAAATTATATATTGAAGCCTCATCTAATAACTTAATTTTTTAGATAAAATGGTTTTTTTATATGATATTAAAACCTTAATGATCAAATAATCTCAAATTCAAATCTCATCATCTCCATTTATTTAATAAAAATTTAAACTGTTAAATTTTTTTTGGTTCTTTAACACTACCATCATATCATATGTCTGCTATCACCATGTTCTTTTCTAGAGAAACTCAATTAGAGTATAGAGTGGGAAGAAAGAGATGGCAAGCCATAGTTACGCATGAAATCTTTAATAAGCTAGCAGGACAGGAATGGCAAAGGTTCAAGAATAACGAAGTAAAGCACCAGAACTTACACAGAGCCGAATCAAGCAAAAGTGAATATGTCCCGAACTGAGAATCAATGATTTCATATATTTATACAGGTAAACTTATCCTAACTTTTGAATTCAACACACCTTCCTCTATTTTTCCTTACACCCAAACAACCAACTTAAAAGAAAAAGAAAAAAAACAGAGAGTAGCACTTTGATAAGTTTCAACTTGAAAACGCTAGAAATCATGAGAAGATGCAAGAGCACTATAAATTCAGAGATGCACAGTTGCTTTTGGTCAGAGGTGGAGCTGAGAATAACTACACTTTTGCTGCAGAAGTTAACATGGAATGCTAATACCATCATTCAACGATAAATGAGCAAAAAAGGAGACGTGCAAAACAAAGAAAAGCAAAAAAATGTGCATTCTCAACACTAAGACCGTACAAAAATCCAGCATATTTCCCAGGAGACTGCTAAACAAATTATCCTTCAATCTCATAAAAGTACTACAAGTAGGCAAATTATCAGAACCTTCTTGGTGACAGACACCAATCCTTCCAACTGCTCAGCCAACTTATTCAAACCACCATGAAGACTATTACAAAAATTCATAAAATGCTTAATATCATAAAGCACAGGGAAATACAATTTGGCCAGCTTAAAAAACCTTGCTTGTGTATCAGGCAATTTCTTGCTAGCAGGCATCTTAAGCTAGCATCCAAAATCACACCACTATGAAATGTAACCTAATGAACATTATCATTCAAAACAATCTTGGATGTTATTAAAAACTCAATAAACCTCTTAACATCAACACTAAATTATGTATTCTTCACTAAATCATCGTCACTTTACTAAAAAAGTTGGATAGAATCATTGGTATAAACATCCTCATTGAGGTTGAAATCACAAAGACTGGATTGCCAAATACAATATTTATCAGTTCCGCAAGCTGGTAAATTTCCCTTTTCATCAGGTAATGGAAGACCCAATTGAATTAAATCCAAAAGTTCAACATTTGCTTGAAGGGTTTGATAGTTGTGATCAAAACTAGTCTTGAAAGACCTGACTGGGCGTAAAACAATGCCAGGAAACTCAATGTCCATTGCAATGTAAGGGAAACCATCAATAATATTGGGAATCAATTTGAATTCTCTTTCTAGAGTACAGCTCCATATTTTATTTATGAAAATCGAATCTTTGATATACATAACCGACATTTTAAAATTCAAGCCCTAACAAACCTGCAAATGAAAAGTAACAAGGGCCCGAATCAATATACAAAATAAAAAAATCTTGAAAAGTATAACATAATTAATTAGGTATATATTCAGAGATTATCAATTTAAGTCTTATAAATCTTAATCTTAAAATCATTAAAAATTTATATGGTTGTTAATTTTAAAACTTGTATAATTAATTAAAATACATATAAGTTAGCTCAAATATTCATATTATACACATATAAAACAAGAAAAAAACCCACAAATTAAAAAAAAAAAGACATAGCTCAATACATACGAAGATATATAAAAAAAACCCATAAAATAAAGAGTTTAAAATTGAAGTAAAGAAAAATATTGAAAAATGTTGCCTTAAGAGATTATAGATGGTTCTTGAGAGGAAAAACAAAGGGGTTTTCTAATAAGCTAGTGAAAGGTTTTTCAGTTCTAAAAAAACTAAAAAAACAAATGAGTTATGAATTAGGAACCACAAATACTCCAAAAATATCCATGTATTCATATATATGCGAGCTATTAAACTAAATTCAAAATCGGACCAGACAAGTATAAGGTTGGGAGAGTTAATTCAAATTAATTTTGATTAATTAATTGTTTTAATAAAATAAATTGATGGGTTTTTTGCTTAGTTTTCACGAACACCAATTTGTGTTTTTGACTAGATTAAATTGTATCGACTCCTTTTTTTATATATATATATATATATATATATATATATATATATATATATTCAACTCAAACAAGTTTAATTCTCAAATCTAATTCTCAAGTTGTCCTAATCTTAGGTGCTATTGTTGGGTTGGTTGCTATTAATATACAACAACAATTAATGGATGGCATTGTCCATTGACAATGCAGCAGCCCATCCCAAATGTTAAAGGGTGGCTGCCACCATTGTTGAAGAAAAGCTAAAGTTGACAGCCATCATTGTTGAAGAAAAGCTAAATCTATGACATCATTCTTGTCTATAAATAGGCACCGAGAGAGAGCAACAAAGAGTGAGAGAGATTGCGAGTATGTGTAAGAGAATAAAAGAGAAAGAGGGGCTGCCATTACAGTAGTGAGCTGAGAGTTGAGTGTAAGTAAGTGTAATCCTCCTCCTCCATGTATGTGTGTTGTAATCCTTTTTTTATCTTTAATAATATGAAACTTTTTCATGGATGTAAATGATTTACCGAACTACGTTAAATATTATGTTTCAGTGTGCTTAATCTCCTATGAACAACTATTAGAACATCACCGGTTGAAATTTCTCAACAGCCGTGAGTACAAATTACATAATTATATCACCTAAGAGATTGACCTTCGCGATATTTTTTTGGATTAGATTTATAATTTTTTAAAGAAAAATATCCAAATATAATTACAAATACTTGAAAATTTATCCAAAAATAACTTTACTTCCATACATTTTTAATTATTTTTTAATAAAGTTAATAAATGCAACTGCATAATAATGTATAAGTGATCATATTTATCCCGTGAGGAATATCTTAAATAAAAATACATACATACATACATACAAACATACATACATATATATATATTTATCTTCGTTATGAGAAATCATTATATAATCCCAACATAAATAAAAAATTTAAAAGGAGATATGTTGCAATACTTAAATTTGAAAGAGAATTAAAAATAAAATTTCTCATCCTTTCATAATCATTTTTATTATATGCTTTTATTAAACCCCCTCATCTTAATTTTGTATGAGTTTTGTCTTTCTATTTTTATTTGTACAAGTATCAATCCTTTATTTTTAAAATTAATTTTATTTAGTTTTTATATGATCAAAAGTTCATTGCTTTTTAAAATTAAATAAGGGCTAAATAAAAATAATTTTAATAATAAATATCTAAATGGTTGATATTAGTGCAAATAAAAGTACAAGAAAAGAACAAATTAATGTATGATAAAAAAAATAAATATTTAATATTAGATTTATAATTAAAAAATAAATTTATGACATTGACTAAATATAAAAATAAATATTTTATTCTGATAAAAATAAAAAAAATACTTTATTAATGTTTTATTAATTTAATTTTTTATTTAAAAATAAGAAAAGATTCAAAAGAAAACTACGACAAATATATGTTTTTGAACTTTGTATAAATTCGGAAGGAGACGTGAAATATTACAATTAAATAGAAAATTTTGTTTTTTTTCCCCTTCTCTTACTTTAACTCTCCAAAAAAAATTAAATATTACTTTATTTATGAATAAAAACCACAAAAACATTGACATATTGGGATCGTCAAAAACATTTGCATCAACATTATTATTTTCGCAAAAATAATTTATAAACTATCAAAATATTTATTTCAATAAACATTCCTTTAATTTCTACAAGCTTAGCGATCAAACTATGAATAACAAGTCATATAGTTGTAACTCACTAAGCCTATTCCTTTCCTATTCGGAAACTTCTATGGTTAATAATATTGAACACCTCATAAGTGTTTTTGCGTATTTTAGACGAGAAAAATACACTTTTTTCCAATAAATAGCGGGTGGATTTATCCTATAATTAGAAAAAAATTCATTCAATATTATTAACAGTATAATTATCCTAATGGTCGATAACTATAATATAAGAAAATAAATTTCACCCAATTGACGCGACAAAGCCATTTCCTTCCGTTCAAAAGGAAGGTTGGAGATTTATTGTTATTGATTAAAAACTGTAGGACGCGTGACAGATAAGCTTTCATAGCTCAGTTGGTTAGAGCACCCGTTTAGTAAGCGGGAGGTCTTGAGTTCGACTCTCAATGAAAGCAGATAATAAGTTAGATATACATATATCTTTTTAGTTCGACTCTCAATGTAAGCTCAATGTCAATGTACTATATGCAATGATTTAGCATTTGTTAAGCTGCTCAGAATCCGAGGAAGAAGAAACAAGTCTCGAACCACTCCTGCAAATTCTTCGACATGATTATCCAAATTTATTGCACATTACTAGTAGTTGCTTTACAGCTACCATTTGCAATACAAATTAATACTGTCCACTAATTTATTCTTTCCCCCGGACAAGTCTGCACCGACCTACCATCTCTGTCTTCCCCACCCCTAGCAGACTTCAGCCTATCAATGTTATCACTATCAAACTTAATCCACTAATTTGGCAGGTGATACATACAAAACATGCAGAAGCATGATCTCCCTCATAAGAAACAGATCCTTGACGTTTACTTATTTGGATTGGGGATGGTAAAAGATGAACTGTGTTGAGAAAGGGAGGACCATTAAGAGGTGTGAAATTATGAAGTTTGAGCAACAAAGCTTTTCAATTGCTTTGCACATCTGCTCAAGAGAAGTACTCTACGACCAGCTGTGGCTTAAGAACCATTAAGAGGCCACAAGGAAATGGCAGATGCCTGTCCTGAAATATTCTAGAGCTCCTCTCACACCACACGCCAAATCATTGCCAAAAAAATCATACATCTCCACAACACTTTCACCTACCTCGGAATATACTGAACCCACAAACCTGATAAAAAACAACTCCCAAGTTTTGAGCAATACCAAACACTAAAAGAGACAGAAACGAAGGCTGTAAAAATATTTGAAATCCAGGAAAGGATGCACAACCAGTAGCCCAGAGGTGTAGGCATAAGCTATACCTTAATTTGAAGGAATTTCCAACAAGAGCAGGCTATTTTATGAGAAGTTTAGGGTGTGAGCTTAGGAACACACATAAAGATACCTAGGCACAAAAGATATCCTCAAACTTAAGTAAAGCTCACTTATAAAAGCAATTCATGAACCCCACATTAATGCGAGTATAAAAGGTCTATATATGGGAAATATTCGATAAATATTTCACACTAACATACATGTTCAAAAAATGAAGACAGAATATGCTATCCACTTCTAAAAAACTGGCACTTTAAATGTCTTTTTGTCAAAGTTATTCCAATAAAAAATATTTAACGATCCTGGGTGAAATAGAAGAAAACCTAGCATGCTACACACTTACTGAAATGTTATACATTTTTTCCCTACATAGACAAATACTTCAAACTACAGTTTCAAATCACCGGTGTTAAACAAAGTTAAGACAAATTCTGATAAGATTTCTTGATATGGCTCCAACTTTCTTTTCGTTGCTCCTTTTGGAATCTGTATAAGTAATTTTGGCTCTCTGATTTCAGCAACAAAAAGAACCACTTAAGCAAATGCCTAATCAAAATAACCTGAAATCTACAAACAGCAGTTGTATTCAACACTTAATGATCAAAAAAAGAAAATAGACATATACTGCAAATTTTATTTGGAGGCACGCAATCAAGTGCATACAAGGGTATATTAGTCGCAACATATAAAGAGTCCAAACCAACCTTTTTTCTAGGTCATACCATGACCTTCGGCCCAGTAATGGCATCACAATTGAACTCAATCCATCCAGGTCATCAATAAACTACAAACCATAAACAGAAATCTGCCAACAACATTTATGTTGTGCAACACTTTACTATGAAAAACACAACGTACACAGCACGTTTGATTTGGAAGCAAGCAATCAAGGTAAATACCACGGAATACCCGTCTCAGTACATGACTACTTTACGTTCATAACAATGAAATTCTACGCATATTAACTAAGAAGAACAAAGAATCACGTCATAGAGGAGGCACCATGGCCTCATGCACCTTCAACAATTAGTTCCTACCAAGAGGAAGAGATCTACAACTATACGTCTCCTTGAAACTATGCTTCTTTGACGAAGTAAATATGGATGCATATACCTCCTTAGTGGCATTAGCTGGTACCATATCAGTAGCCTTAAACCGCTTTACCGAACCACCATGACTAACCTCTTTCACATTCTCAACCTTCCCATTTCCTTTCACTTTCCCAACAACGTTATCCACTCCCTTAACATCAACAATCCCATGCTTTTTACCACTCAACTGCGACACCTCCGTGCCCTGACCTGAAAACTCCTCTCCATTAGCCCCCAGTTTTCCGTTCTTCACCTTCTTCATTTTCGTCCCCTTCATTTTTGATCTCTCCTCCTCCATTCTCTCCTTTAAAACTGCCACCTCCTCCTCACTCCCATTTATCACAATCTTATCACACTCCTCAAACTCTTTATAACAAACCAGACACTCCGATGACTTTACCTCCTTCAATGCCTTAGCACTCAAAACATGCCCACAATTCTTTAAAGCAAAAAACTTATACTTCCCATTAAACTCTAACCCCGTTACCGGACATTGAAACCTTGCATTACCCGACCCCTCACCCAGTACCACCTCTAACTGTATATCAATCATATCTTTCAAACCCTTTATATAACCAAACTCCTTAGGCAATTTTTTACCAATCAATGCCTCAACTAAAGCTTCCTTATTAAACATATTACCGAGTCGATCAATTACGCAAGGTTGCCTCAAGGGCTCATTCGAAAGTGAGCAATTAAGCCATTTCGATAGGCGCAGTTCATGTGGATCCACTTTATCAGGCTTTTTATCAGCATACATGTTGAGATAACAGTCCCTGGACTCCGCCCCCGTGGCACCGCCATCGCCACCGCCGCCGGAGAGCCGGGCTTGTAAGATTAGGGTGCAGAGAGGGGTAATTTGTGGGTTTGGTAAACAGGTGGAGTCTTTTAAAGGTTTTCCGTTGAGGGTGAAATAGAAAGAAGATGGATTTTGATAGTCGGTTATAAGAGAGAGCTTGAGATTGTAGAGGGTTAGGGTTTGAGTTGGGTCTAGAGTTAGGGTTTGGGTTTTGAATTGAGGATTCTGAGATTGGATGAAAATTTGGTGGCTTTTTGTGTGCATTTTGTAGATGAGGCGATTAGGGTTTCTGGGATTTTCTAGGAATTTTATTTCGATGATTTGGGGATTTTTTTGAGATACTGGGAAGAGAGAGAGGTAATGAATTGGGGATTTTATTGGTTGCCAGAATGAGAGACACCGACTTTATGTCGTCGTTGGACTGATACATGTCGTTTGAATGACTGCTGGATTCGATGGGCTATCGTTTATCGGGCCTGGTTTTTTTCCCCCCTGAGCATTTGCTGGACTAATTCGGTTCTGTCTTTAATGGGCTTTCTAGCCGCTTTCCCCCCACCTTCAAAAGCGAATATAATTTAAATTTGTTAAAATACTTATTTAGACACAAATTAATACTCTAATCTAAGAAGAATATAATAAAAAAGACAAAAACTGAAACTTTATATTAATATATAATATTTATCTATTCATAAAATTAAAACATTACATCAGCCACCTTTTGGAGATGTAAAGTATTAAAATTATTATTTTTAATTTAGTTGTTGTCATAAATATAACTTTATTATATATTTTTTAATTAACAATATAATTTTTTATAAAATTTTAATTTAAGTAAAATAAAAAAACTAAAAAACTAGATTATAAAAAATATAAAATATTTAGATGAGAATTATAAATTATGATTTTGATATTTTATGAAAAACATTTATCTTTGTTTTAAAAAAACAAACATATTTTCTATTTTTTTATCGGAGAAAAGAATCACTGTACCGGACCACTGTTAATTTGAATAATTTTTTATTTTACTTGGCTATACCATGGTTTGAGAGGACATGGACCCACATTTATATATAATTCCATCTTGCTGGTAGCTAGCTAGGGCGTGGATAGGCAAGTCTCTTCTTTGTCCATGCTCCACAAAAAAGGACGGGAAAATTACAAGTTTTTGTCTTAAAGCAAAACGACATTGTTTTGTTTTTTCTTTTTAAAAAAACTTATTTTAACATGAAACATGAAATGGTATAGGCTCTAGATTAATAAATCACTCTGTTAATCTCCGAGTTTCATAACTATGGATAAATAATTTAAGGCTAACATTTTTGAAATTTTGAATATTGATATTGGAAGAACATTAATCCCAAATTGTTAAAAAAGGAATATTGAAATATTCTTTCTAAGACTACATAAAAAAATAAAAATAGATATCAATACTTACATTAAGTGAGAAAGTCATGGATATAAAAATAAAAATAGATATCAATACTTACATAATAAGTGAGAAAGTTATGGATATAAAAAAATTACTATCAATATTTTTATAATTAATATAAATATTTGGGTCAACTTATATTTATTTATTTTGATTAATCTTATAAAGACTGAAATTAATAATTATATAAATTTTTAATAGTTTTAAAAAATATAAACTCGTAATTATTGAAAAGTAAATTTAAAATCTGAGTAGTTAAATTATTGTTTATAATTGTTATAAATTCTTATTTAATAGGAGAGGGAGAGATACATCAATGAAAAAAAATTGCATTTTGTCCCATCAAAATTGGTAAGAAAATAGGAATATATACTCAAAAATTATTTTTTTGTAACTCTCTTTTTTCATGTTTTCTCTCTCTTTTATATACAGTCTTTCTTCTCTTTTCTTGACTAATTGTGACTTTGAGCATTGTAAAATTTGTATTGATTGGGATAATAACTTCCATACGGGTTCTTAACATATTTGGAGCTTAATCATGGCACCCACTAAAAGCTTGATAAAGTCTCAAGCAAGGGGTTGGTGTCGAGCAGTGAGAAGTCCATTTCGAGGGTAATGCCAATCGTTATGTCATATAATGCACTGTGGTCCATAAATGCCAATGAAGAGCTGCTTTTTACTATGCGATTCAACTTGGTTTATAAAAATAAAAAAAATGATTTTTATATTTTAAATTAATTTTTTTAGATATTTTTAATGTGTTAATATCAAAAATAAATTTTAAAAAATAAAAAATATATTATTTTAATATATTAAAAAAATAATTTAAAATGTAACTTATTCCAAACACTCAAATAAAAATGATGTATCTACTTTATATCTATATACAAAGGAATATTGAAATATTCTCTCCAGGACTATAAAAAAAAATATATATTTATCAATACTTACATAATAGATGAGAGAGACACATGAATGAAAAAAATAGCTATTAATACTCTTTTTTTATTAATAGAAATGTCTGGTTAGTGTGTATATTTTTATTAATTTTATAAAATTTAAAATTAATAATTATATAAATTTTCAGTGATTATGAAAAGGCTTAAACTTGTAATTATTAAAGAATTAATTCAAAATCCAACTAGTTAAATTAAATTTATAGTTGCTATAAATACTTATTTAATAAAAGAGAAAAAAAAAACAATGAAAAAAAATTAAATTTGATCCCATCAAAATTGATAAGAAATAAGAATATGTACTCAAATATAATTTTTTGTATAACTTCCTTTTTCCATGCTTTCTCTCTTCTTTATATATAATCTTTCTTCTCTTTTCTTACTAATTGTAACTTTGAGCATTGTAAAATTCCTACTGATTGGGATAATAACTTCCATACGGGTTATTAACATTTTTTGAGCTTAATCTTGGCACTAATTAAGTTTGTGTTTAATATTGCATTTTAAAAATATTTTTTTAAAAAAAATATTATTTTTTGCTTTGAATTAATATGTTTTTAATATTTTTAAATTATTTTAAGGTATTAATCTCAAAAACAATTTTTAAAAAATAAAAAAATTATTAATAAACTTTTTTAAATAAAAAATATTCACAACTATACTTTATAACACGATGTAAAAGCTTAATAAAGTCTCAAGCAAGGGGCTGGTGTCAAGTTGTGAGAAGTCCATTTCAAGGGTAATGTCAATCGGAATTAAGTCATATAATGCAATGTGGTCCGTAAATGCCAATGAAGTGCTGCTCTTTAGGGTTGTTCATTTTCGGTTTGATTCGGTTTTTATAAAAAAAATAACCAAATCGAAAAAAAAAAGCCGAAACCGAACCGAAACCGGTCGGTTTCAGTTTTTTAAGGAAAAAACCGGTTCAAATCGGTTTGGCTCGGTTTTTCCGGTTTGGCTCGGTTTTGGCTCGAT